AAGCAGACGTGTTTTCTAATTGCAGAGGTCGAGTAGCAAACACTTCCTCAGTCTCTGGCAGTAAAGAGATGAACCTTACAGAACAACTGTCCTCCAACAGTTTCACACACTTCAGACGTGGTTCAGTGTTCAGACTGTATGAAGGAGCAGCAGCACTGAGACTGGCTCTTCACACTGATTATTACTCGCGTTGACGGCTGCATGTTTTCATCTCTTCAGCGGCGATTCTTCTCCTGAAGCCTCCAAACTTCCCTTTCTGTCCTTTTAGCTGCACAGATAAGTAGAAGGAGAAGAACTCAGCATGTTGTTGTGTTTGAGCTGCAGTGAGTAATAATCTGAACACGCTCATTAAAGCAACCAGCAGCAGCTTTCACTGGCTGCACACTCTGGCGCCCCCTGTGGACAGAAACTGTAGTGTCACTGGTTTCATGGTATTACATTTAAATCAGTTTTAACCTTTAACAACATTTTTAATGCCTGCAGGTCTTTATATATGTGTTTATAGTGACTTATTGTACTGTCAGTATAAAGAACAGAGAAACATTTTAATGTCAGCGTATGTGCAGAATTTAATCAGTTTGTTTGTTTGTTTGTTTGTGTTTATTTTATATTGAGTGAGTAAAGGTCTGAATATAATACATAAAATATTTCAATTCATTATAAACTATTTTATAGTGCAAACTGCATCTTTTTGCAGGATATCGATGAGAAATGTCTTTTTATAATATATAATTTATCATAAAGGAACAAAAACCTGTATTTTTATAAAGACTGGACACCGACACTGGACCGGTCCACTAACACGCACTAATGTTGTCTCTCTGCTGCTGAAAACAACTTTAACATGGTAACTTTTTGAAAATGGTGGTCTAAACACTATAAACTGATTATGTAAAGTATAGTTGTAAAGTTCGGCTGTGGTTGGTAAATTAAAGTTGGTTCATGTGGTCGTATTATTTCTGCTCTTTAACACTGTGAGTAGAACAACTGTAACACTGATATTGATCCGCTCTGACTGAATCTGACCTGATGGACGACGTAAATAACCTGAATATTGATTATTATCTTAATGATAACAACAAAAGATCCTGGGAATAATCTGTGTTGTTCCTCAGTCTGATCGCTGACGTAACCCTGGGCCAGAGGTTCAACCACCACCTACCTGTAATGAGCCTGTGTCTTTAATCAACTGTTAATACGATGCCTACCAGTGAACTATGTGAGGGTTTGTGAACACATGTTGTCCTGTATTATCAAGAAAACAACCAGTTCAAAGGTCCCTGCAGGAGGCTGAAGGCTCTGTGGAAGTGATGAGCTGAGAGTCAGATCAGTTTGAGCCTCAGATCGTCTCTGCTGCTGTTACAATGAAGAACTTAAAGGTAACGTTAGCGGCTGCTGAGGCCACTCGTAGACTAAACACTAGTGTTACGGCTGGTTTGTTCTCCTGCTTCTTTATAACCTGCAATGAGTGACTCCAGCCTGCATGATGAGCCGCAGCAACTGAACACCACTCGGACCTTTTGGGAGATTTGTTGACCAAAGATTCCCAAAAGGTCGGGTACATTGCGCTCCCCGAGGCGGGTTAATCCTGTTCGCTGCCACAGTGTTTGTTGTTGTTCGGCTCCATTAGTTGCTGTTTGAGGTTTTTACCGCTGTGTCTCTCCTGCAGGAGAACGACGGGAGGCCGGTTCATTTGAAAGGAGGAACCACCGACGCTCTGCTGTACAGGACAACGATGGCCCTCACCATCATGGGTGAGAAGATCCGACTACAACTCGCCGCCTTCTTTTCCTGCACAATCCTTTTATTTGTCATTTCTCTGAAAGTCGACACCGCAGTGAAAAAGAAAACGTGTCTTTAAATAGAATGAAAGTAATTTACAGGGGTAGAAAGAACGCCGGCGAATCAGAGAAATAGACGATATTTTCACATCATTTCACAGCTGTAGCAAACACTGAAGGAACTGTTTTCATAATCCTGTGGTTCTCAACCTGAGGGTCGGGAGCCCCACTAGGGGTCGCCAAAGCTTCACAGGGGGTCGCGAGGCCTTCTTGATTTTTAAGGCGTGTAAGAAAACATAAAAAATATACATATACACAGGGGGCTTATATCTCAACATTATAGCTGATTAAGTGACACCGACTTCATTTAGAGTTTATTTGTATTGTGAAAATAACTTAAAATGTTTTAACTTAACAGTTTGTCTTCTAAAGATAAAATGTGACAAACAGTATTATAATGAAGCACTGTAGTTCTACAGACTCTCACTAATCACGATCCATCCGTCAAAATAATCTCAGTATGATGTTTTTATTGTATCGTGCAGATCAATAATTTATGTAACCGCCCCGTAAATCACATTAGAGATCAGAAATGTCCCAAGAGGAATTATTCAATTCATCACATCAGCCGACATTTTGCTTTTTAAAATCAGTGTTTTCCTTTTTCCTGAAACTCATTTAATCTGCAGGTCAAACTGTTTTTACTGTGTTAGTGTGACGTCGAGTAACCAGCCTGGTTCTCCTTTCAGGGACCGGGTACGTTGTGTATGAACTGGTGAAGGCGGCGTTCCCTAAGAAGTGAAAACACTCCAGCTGTTTACTTCCCTTTAAAGACCGGCCAGAAGCTCTACGTTGTATAAAAGATAATCCTCTGCCTGTTTCCTGTCACTGTTTCATGTTCATACCACAACTGGAAGCAGGATACTGTTTGACGCAGTTGTGATCTAATTTTCTCCCTCTAATCAAGTAAAATTTTATTATACCAAAGAAGTATCATAAAGTCATTGCTACTTAAGTTTATGGGATATCATGCGCTCATAGACGCTGTGACTCTCTTGTCAGCCCCTGGCTACCGTGCGTGAAGAGGAACCTAGGTTGTCTTATTTTCTTCTATTAGTGCTGAGTAATAGGCCCTCGGCGTTACGGAGGGCTTTGTAGGTTATTAAAGATTATCTGCCAAAATTGAGTGACTATTCTGACCATTTGAAGAGCGCCATTTCCTTTCTGATTTTCTTGTTCTTCGTGCTTTAATTGTGCGTAGTTGGGTTGTAACGGTGCTGTTTCCTATGTTTTAATAATTTCGTTTTTCTAGAGGCCGATAGAATCTAATGTCTTCGTAGGAGGCCTGGCAGGCTATTACAAGATTATCATTGGGAGGGGATAAAGTTAAGATAGGATCTGTTATATTCAGACATGGCATTGAATTGAACACGTGAAGGAATCTCATCCCTGAAATTTAGCTACGCACCCTCAGAAGACATCGCTGTAGAATTATTGGCCTAATGGTGCTATAATCTAATAATAGAAACGAGGTCAGAGTGGATTAAAACAATGAGTTGGTTTCAGCACTCCTGACAGAAGCCCATTGAGTCTATTATAGATAAAGCTTACTAAGGCTGTCATTGTCAAAAATCCACATGGATAGTTGGAAATCACCTAGCAAAATTACTTATCTGAATTTAAGGACCTTAAACTTGAAAAAAACATCAATCATTCAGACACATTTATGTAAACCAGCAGAGACTCCAACAGGCTGAGTCATGAGAGGTTGTTATTTATTGATCTCAAGGTCATCAAAGAGAGTGTACAAGAAATAAATACTTGATCAATG